GTAGTCGACGGACAGAACTACGTGATGGTCTAACCAAATACGTTGACTCCTTCATTCCCCCTGATGGATCCTCAGAACAAGCTAGTGCCCTCTACCAGCCCCATCAATTCCACATCCACCTCAACATGCCACACCCATACACACACCATTCACAAGCCTACCCGCAAACACCCATACAGTATCAACAGCACCTAGAAACATGGCACCCACGCCCACATTCTCCGTATGTATACCCCTCCACCAGTCTGGCACATAGCACCACCTCCACCAGCCAAATGACAGTTGGTTTGACCAAGTTAAGGAGGAAAAACGCCTTGTCCGTTGGCTGCTGTTTTATATGCCATTGTTTACTGCACTTGTGGTCTAAGTTATCTAAATTATAATATTTTATTACTATCCAACTATGAGTTTGTGTGTCTGTTTTTTTTTACAGTTTTAAAAGGTTTTAGGTTTTTGTAAGGAGTTAAATATCAATGGTTGTGGTACACCATATGTAGGAGGATCACACATGCCATACCTCAGAGTGTAGTCTATATCATATAAGATATATTTCCACTTAAAAGCAATGTAGTACAGTTTGAATACATGACATATAACTCATTTGAACTTACCGCAAAGTGATGATCAGTCTTTCCACTGGTGCAATACTATCTCTTAAAAATGTGTCCTGACGTTCCAAATGGATGGACATTAACCCCAGTAGCTCATCAAAACTGTAAAACATAAAAGGTGAGGGTTAACCCTACTAGCAATTAAGCAATGAACTGGTGGTATCAAAGAGCATATGGGCCAGGTAATCAGAAAAAAAATACCAGCTTTGTGTTTAACATACATTTTGCTCACATATACATACATGAAAGACAGGCTGATTTGATGCTAGCTTTATTTTCTATCTTGCTTTCCCATCTGTTTCCCAATCAAATCTAGGATGCTACTATTATATGGGACACACCAACAATACGTATTGTACATGTACGCACCTGTTGATGGACATGCAAGTGTACTCAAAGAATTTATCCTCATGTCCACGAGTTTCATACATGGCCCAGAACTGCCCTTGTTGTTGTCGGTTCGCGATGACAGGATGGACCCAGAACCTTCGTCTGCTCAGTCTCCTTCTCCTCAAATGCATTATATGCACTGTAGCAACTATTGCTGCAATATGTCGCGGTTTGTACAGATCCATGTTAACACACTTCACACAACACACACTCCACTGTAACAAAGAAACAGGAAAAGGAAATGGTGCATCTAAGGAAGTCTTTTTCATTGGACGCCTCCATAGTCAATCCACAAACGCACGTACGACTCGCGTTTGCAAGTGAAAAAACAGCGCTAAAAACGCTAGGGGAATACGCGCATAGAACAACCGCCCAGGTGTGAACCCAGCCTAAATGTATATAGAATACCACAAAAAATGATAGGTGGGGCTTTTAAGGTGCTGAATGACCGAGTCAAAAAGGATCTTTATGCAATACCTTTTATGTCTTTATTCAACCTCAAATACTATGTTACTATGTTAGGTGATGGAACTCCGCTGCGGATCTCCTTTCAACAAGAGAAATTGGGAGTCACTTCACACGGTAGTTCAAAAATAGTTTTAAATAAGGAAGGGTCAAATGGTGGTACTTGAAATGTTCACTTCACAAACAAGCAGCAAAAGTCAATTGGTTGAATGAGCATGTAACAACCCTGATATTTGCAATGTTCACTTCACATCACAAGTGCATTTAACACACAAGATTGTATGGCTAGGATAAACGGTGGTGTTTTTACTGTTCACTTCACAAATGCATTTATCACAAAAGTTTGTATGGCAAGTATGAACAGGGATGTTTGCAATGTTAACGTTCACATCAACCAGCAAAGTCAATCAAGTCTCATAAGCAAGTAACAGCTGGGGTAATCAATACTTGCTGTTATGAGTACATTGGTTAGCAGGCAGAAGCAATCCTGGAGTCTGTATCCTGGCTGTAGTGGCTGATATAGCCGCAATGTGAGGATGAGAAGCACAAGAAGTCCCAGCAGGATCAGGAGGGTGTGCAGGCTCTGGAGGGTCCCACAGGGACAGCCTATCATACAGGATGGAGAGCAGGTTTGAAGGGAGCGTTGTCCAGCGTCTGCACTCATTGCAGGAACACCAGACAAGTGAACCCTTGCTGCCTAAGCTGAGGAGGGAGGAGCAGCGTGATGTGGACAGACCGGGGGCGGAGCTACCCTTCGTGTCCGAGACGCCGGAGAGGTAAGTATAGCAGATTTATTACACTTTACCTCATAAATTGTATAAAGTGTTTTTATTAGAACATGATTAAAATTGGTAATTAAAAAAAAAATAAAGAAATTGTAACAGTATCACATTCATATTCCGATTGTTTTTGATGCATTGGATTAAACCCCCAAATACCATCCCTCAATTTTACTCCAACAGACTAATAGAGTTGACCACATACTATCTGTCAAGATGTTGATTCTTCTCTTTGTTGGTAACTGGAGTGGTATAAGTTCTACGCATTTCACGCTTGATGTGCTTCTTTAGGAACTCAGTATAGGAGGAAATCTGAAATGGCTATAAACAAAAAATAAGTAACCATGCAAAAACAATAATCAGTAAAACAGTCATTGTAACATGGTTATTTTACATTGTAGTGGCACCTACCACACTAGGAAACAATCAGTGGGCATGTACGGGCAGAACATCAAACCATAGGTCTAACAAATGGGGGATAGACAGGCCCAACCAGATAGCGAGCAGCCCAAGCAGAACAAGCCTCTGAAGGATAGATAGTGAGAAATCCCTTGTACTTTAGGCTAAAAGGAAATAATTCCCAATATAAAGGCTGTATTCAAATTGTATCCCTGTCACATTCACATCCATACCATCTTATTTAACTCAAAACAACAGCAAAGATATCCACCATATGGGAAAAGGAATGAATCCCATAAAGTCATATCAAATGCAAAAGTCATAACAAACCTTCATCTATTCTCAATGTGATTTGGTTAGATGACAGGGATTAAATCCTACATGAATATATAGAAAAGGGGGGAGGGGACAAACTCACTTCCTTCAATGTGTACATATAACAAATGCAGGCTAAACACAGTCAGCCATCCCGGTGCCGTGTATCAAGGCAGCTCTCTGCCATAATTGACGCCCGACAGCCCGGGCGAGTGTTATAACAGCACTACTAACGCCATCATGTGAACCCATGTGAGTGAATAAGGAAGGTGAGGGGTGTGCCCCTCTCTAACCAGTTCTCAGCAGCTGTTAACACTAAGGGAATCACAAAACACAAGCCCCAACAACAGGAGTCCACATCTCAGTTAGCCAGTTTAAATGACTAACCCCCCTCAAAGATTTTTTTTTATTCTGACGGCAGCAGAACTGCCGGGTTCTCAGTGTAATGACTGATCAGTGTCCCTGGTTACCAGGTAATCAGGGACGCTGTTCCATCATTAGGATGAGAGCTAAGCAGAGCCGGCTTTTTTATATCACCACCGGCTCTGACAAGCTCTCATTGTAATGACAGCTGGTTCCGGCCGATAGAAAATAGTTGGGCGGAGCTAGCTGTCACTGCTAGCTCTGCTCAATCGTTTTGTATTTAATTTTTTCTACTTTTTTAACTGTTTTTCTATTCTGCTCGGGACCACATAGGCACCGAGCAGAATAGCCGAGCCAAATGCCGCTCAGCGGCATTCGGCTATTCACTCACTGCTGTTCAGCATCTATGAGAATAGGCCGAACTGCAGCGAGTAGCCTACCGGAGGTTCGGCTCAGCCGATCCAGATGTTGGATCGGCTGAGTCAAACTCCTTCTGCACTTCGGGTTCGCCGTACATGCTGAGCATGTTGGCCGACCCGAAGCCACCCGATGTACGGCTGATTTCAGTCGATATACGGCTGAAAACAGCCGTACAAGCCTGAAATGAATAGCCGAACAGCGTTCGGCTCACTTCGGATCGGTTTGTCACTTGGCTGCCTGCGGCAGCTTTGTGAATAGGCCCCTCGTATGTCAGGGTAAGAAATCAAAAGAAAGATAGAGAAAAAAAAAGGTAAAACATTTCACACACCAAATCACTAGGAAAGGCAGGGGAAGATGAAACCTTTTCCACACATCTTTCATCTAGAATGTAAGACACAAGAAAAAGATGACAAAAGGAAAATATTATTCCATTTTTGAACATGGCAATCAGAGAAAGGATTTGAAACTTAAAGCCTCATTTAATCCTGGGGGTTTTGTCGCTTGTAGTTTATAAATCCATTCGGTCACTTTCTGTATGACCCAGTGTTTTTTTTTGCTATAACCTTCGAGTTAAGCCTCTAATCATTTAACTCCTTCCCCCTGTACACATGTCTTATGTATAGCACATATAATACATGAGGCCTTTTTGCTTGGGTAGAAGTGTCATCACTCCCTCTCCTAAGCACCACCCTCCATTGTCCCTTTTGAAGAACAAGATATCAACTATTATTTGTAGTGACCTTTTACCAAATTAATTAACCCAAATAATACCTTTTACTGTTGTTGTTGTTATTATTATTAAAGCAGAACTCCAGGCAGATAAAATCTTAACCTGTTTAGTGGGGGCAACCCACACAATGCATGAATTAAGTGCTTGTTTTGTCTAGAGAGCTAAAATAACAGGTATACCCATCAATTATGAACCATTCAGACTCTTATGTTATAATACTATGATTATTGATTTTAGGTTAAGAAGAAATATAATAGCTTGAAACTAGGTAAGAAGAATAGTGGAAGAGCATCCATGAGGGTTTTTTTCAAATGTCAGCATGGTAAAATGTATTAACATTTTACCATGCTGTCTAGGGCATTGGTGCCGTAGAAAATGAATCTGTTGAAAACTAAAGTGTTTTTTTATTGTATTTCTATTTTGTCAGTTTCTACATGTTTTATACAGTGAGAAAGATTGTCATATACCATATTAAGTGTATCCACTAATGCACATTTTTCTGCTCTTTACATTTATTCTGCTGCTTCTTAGAACGTGGACATGGCTCCTTCTCTGAAAACTGCATATGCTCGTCGCTGGTGGATTGCTTGTACAGCAGTACTGGAAAATCTTTTCTTCTCAGCAGTTCTTTTTGGATGGGGCTCACTTCTCATCATGCTGCAACAAGAAGGATTTTATTCACACCTATGCACAGGTGACTAAAAAAAAATTCCATTGTACACAGGTTCACCAATGCATTAGCGGTCTTAGCAAGATCATAAAGGATACCCAGAACAAAAAAGAAAAAATATGTAAAAAATGCACTTTGCAAATACCAAATTGTTGTAGAGCAGGGGTGCCCATTAGGTCGATCATGATCTACCAGTCGATCGCAAAGCGAACACTGCTAGATTACTATCGGCTGCGTCCTGTCCCCCATGGTGCTTGTGAGGCTGCCGGCTGAATGTGTCAGATGCCACAGGCGGGAAGGGGCGGGACACCTCTCCCAATGTGCAACGTCGGCCACATTTGGCCACACGAGCACCGTGGGAGGACAGAACGCCGGCACGCGAGAGGAGACCTGAGAAGCTGCTGCAGTGGAGGTAAGAAAAGACAGACAGGAGAGAGACCGCAGAGACAGTGAGAGAACAGAGACAGTGAGAGAAAGTGAGAGAACAGAGACAGCAGAGAAAGTGAGAGAAGCGAGACAGCAGAGAAAGTGAGAGAAGAGAGACAGCAGAAAAAGTGAGAGAAGAGAGACAGCAGAGAAAGTGAGAGAAGAGAGACAGCAGAGAAAGTGAGAGAAGAGAGACCGCAGAGAAAGTAATAGAAGAGAGACAGCAGAGAAAGTGAGTGAAGAGAGACAGCAGAGAAAGTAAGAGAAGAGAGACAGCAGAGAAAGTGAGAGAAGAGAGACAGCAGAGAAAGTGAGAGAAGAGAGACAGCAGAGAAAGTTTTTACCTTTCTTTTTTGTTCATCTTTTTGTGTATCTCTGTGGTGCAGATCCTCCTTTTCCAGCCACTTCCTGTCCACATACACTCAGTCCAATGTCGGCTGCACATCATTGCTATGGACCAGGTTTCCAATAGTGACATCAGTGGACCATGCCTGTGCAATGTGTGTTGGCACAGCCCCTTGTGGTCTCCACCAGGGGTGCGAGTGAGGGTAACAGCGCAGGAGCACACATGGGAAACACTTGTCACTGACTAATCTGCAAATCAAATGTTACTACTTACATGTGATGAATGCTGCTCACAAATATATGTAAATAAGTGTCATAGACAGCATGTGAAAAATCAAGTTTTTGCACTCCCTGTGCAATTTTTCTCTACATCTGGGGATGTAGAACAGCTGCTGCTTTCATTCATACAGACATCAAACTTTACATGAAAAATGTTCTTCCTCAACCACTAGGACCAGAACCAAATGGCTTAGTGATTTTGATATGAAAAAGTTTAATTGAAAAAATCAAACATATGAAAAGTGAAACTTCATATTACATCTGCCTATTAAAAACCTTTGACAACGTTGTCCACAACCACTCACAGTCCCACTCATACAGACAGGCCCCACAAACCTGCTAAATAATGGAATATCATTGTTGCTGGATCTATCACTGACTCTGTGGAGGTAATGGAGGGTAATGAGGGGCAGCAGAAAGTCCACGGACACCAATCTCTGTCTTATTTAACCTAAAATGTAATTCCTTAGACAAATTGAAATTCCAGACTTAGTTGTACTGATCCCCTTCCTCCAGGTAGTCTCAGTTGGTCTCAGAGTGCAAGACTGACACTGGTGGATGACACTGGTGGATGATACTGGTGGATATTGCGGAGGACTTTTGGATGTCAGGGAATTGCACATGATTGTTATATAAACAGGGAAGTGGATACAAAATTGTGAGTAAGGCTGGGCACACACCTTACAATTAGGGATGCACCGATATATCGGCGCCGAAACATATAATGGCATAATGCCGAAAGAGCCATGTTTCGGCCGATACATCGGCGCATCCCTGCTTTCTTTTCTCCCCGCTGGCCGCTGTTCCAGCGGGGAGAAAAGAAAGTGACAGCCGGCCGAGCGCTGCAGGACGAGAGCGCTGTGAGCGGTAAAAAATTGAAAAAATAAAAAACATTTTCGGTATCGGTTTTGGTTTCGGCCTGACATTTTTTTTTCGGTTTCGTATCGGTTCTAAAATTTCCATTTCGGTGCACCTCTACTTACAACCATTGTTGTAAGGTAATTAAAAAACGTATGATCTGCCTATCTGGGACAGGCAGATCGTACTTGCGAAGATCGCAAGCCCGCCCCGCTGAGGGGCGGGCTTCCGATGACCGCAATGCTGAACGGGCAGTGTAGCTTTTATCTTGCGAACATGCCACAAACCAGCCGAACATTGTACGATGTTCGGCTGGTTTTCGAACATGTTCCTAAGATAAAAGTCGTGCGACCTTACAGTAGCAGAGGTCGCACGGCTCCCACACACCTTACAATAATCGTACGATCACGGGATTTCCCGCGATTATCGTACCATTATCGTAAGGTATGTGGGCACCTTGAGTACCGAGTTTGTATTCAATATAAAGGCTCCCCCACTACCAATAGCCAGTTTATTATTGCTTACAGCCCCCTCCTAATCAAAATGTATCAATCTACTGAATTTCCTGAACATTCAAATAGCTAGGAAATGTTTCCTCTCCTCTGCCCTATACCCTTAGCTTCTATTGCTAGAGATCTGAAGTTTAAACCCAGGTAAGAAAAATCTAAACTTTTTGTAGCTTAATTACCTCTGTCTAATTGCACCTAGCAGACTTCCTTGCCTGACAGCTCTGGCTCCCAGTAAGAGAAATTAACTCCTGACTGATTCCCGCCTTGATCCTCAGATCGCATACCAAATTAGGCACTTACTAAAGGTGGCCATACACTGTACAACCATCGCAAGACCTTAGTCTTGCGATGGTTGTAAAGTGATTAAAAAAACGTATGATCTGCCCATCTTGGACAGGCAGATCGTACTCTCGATCATCGCAAGCCCGCCCCCCTGAGGGGCGGGCTTCCAATGACCGCAATGCTGAACGGGCAGTGTGCGCACACCGGCCCGTTCGGCATTTGTCTCCCGAGCACCGTTCAAACCAGCTGAAAATCGTACGATTTTCGGCTGGTTTTCTAGCGTGCTCCGTAGACAAAAGACGTGCGACCGTACCGTAGAAACGCACTATAATAGGTGCCATGGCGCAGCTGTGCGGCTTTCACATTTTCTGCAGAAGACGTGTATCCAAACCTCTGTTATTAACCTTAGTGGTGAGACAAGTTGTTTTACATGCTGGTTTGTGAGTGTGCCATGATACCTTTCTACTGTTTTACTGTTCAAAGCCCATTTCGTTTGAACCTTACTGTATGGCTGGTGACGAATTGTTGAGTGCGTTTGTCATTTGTTTTGCTTGACCGATTTGGTGGTGACGCATGGGGGTTCTCGGCTGCCATTGGGATGTGCGGGATCCCTTGTGAGTCCCTGTGCCTTTAAGGAGGTTGGGCTCCCTCCTGACATACCTGCACCCAATTTGAAATCTTCTGCCCCCATGTGCTCCAAGATGGAGACTCTCATCGTTTAGAGTTAGGACCGCACTATAAGAGGTGCCTTGGCGCAGCTGTGCGGCTTTCACATTTTCTGCAGAAGACGTGTATCCAAACCTCTGTTATTAACCTTAGTGGTGAGACAAGTTGTTTTACATGCTGGTTTGTGAGTGTGCCATGATACCTTTCTACTGTTTTACCGTACAGTAGAAACGGTCGCACGTCTTCGTTCACACTGCTCGATTCTCGTACGATCGTGGGATTTCCCGCGATTCTCGTACGAGAATCGAGCAGTGTATGAGCACCTTAAGAGCTATTGCACACACAGCCAACTTATTCTGCCCTTAACCATGTTTGATGAGATGTGTAGAGGGAAAACATCCCCAGACTCTCCTAAGGTAAAATTTACAGTATATGTTACTATTCCCCAGCAGACGTCACACCATCATACACAACAAAGTGAGAAAATGAACTAGCTTTTAGGGGAGTAACTACAAATGACTGGGTCCCATAGCAAAATTGTGTTGGCCTCCCAGTGACCTACCGTGTTAAATAAGACACTGTCTTATTTTCGGGGAAACACGGTATCTGTGGCACAAGGCAGTATCAACTGTGATAACATGGTCATTGATCTTAACATACAGTGAGCAGTATTTACGAAGACGGGCAGACAGAATCTGGAGCTGTGCATAGTAACCAAAACATTTCTAGCTTTCATTTTCAACCTTTAACTGAACAAGCTAAAGATACAAGCTGAATAACCATTAACTATTGTGACATAAGGAGAGGGGACATCATTGAGGGGCGGTATGTTTCCCCTCGCTTTCTATCTTATGTCAGGAATAGCGGAACCCTGACCAGGGTTTTCGCTTTGACTTTGGGTCTGGATAGTCCAGCTCGGGCTTTGTGTCTCACCTGGATAGTTGATTGCTTGATGAGTGCTTGTCCAGGTGAGATAAAAGGGGAAGGCTGAGACATGGTTTTGCTCTGGCCTGGGACTCAGACAGCCTTCTGAGAGAGCTACATGTTGGATGTGTTCAGAGAGAAAAAGAACTTTGCTGCCTGGACAGTTTTTTTCCCTGGGAAGGTGATCCCCCATTCGAGCTATACCCCCACACTATGCTTAGCTGTCAGCATAGTCGGTACACTACTAGTGACTCTTGTTGTGGATATGAGTTATCAAGGAAGAGTTAGTAGAAAAGGGAATTCATTTTTAACATTAATTTCCAGCTCACCACCAGGTCCTCAGTAGCTCACTAGTCTTTTTCAGATCTCAGTGCCTTAGTTCTAAATCTGATTCCTTTGTAATGCCCCCCCTGATCCCCAAAGTCCCGAGGAGGGCTGACATTTCACTCTCAAGGGTGGACCCTTAGCTGGGTTGTGGGGCGCCGGGCCTGCCAGTCACTTTAAGTGCCTTTTTAAATGCTATATTGTAAAAAAAATCAAAACTGGGAGAGGGTATAATGCAGCGGTTCTCAACCTGGGGGTCGAATGACGATTTTCGATGGAGCAGAGTAAACCTTTCTCTACTTTCCACTGCTGCTGTCAATCAGCAGAGGGGGGCCTGCAGTTCTCTGCCCTGACAGCAGCAGAGGGCAGGTGCAATAGCTAGTTTGCTATTGGCTATTGCAAAGTGAAATA